ACCATTGGAACCTCATTTGCCAGTAAAAAAGTATGATAATTGTTTTTTTACCCTTCTATCTGGCAACAAAACTGACACTTTTTTTACAAGGAGTCATGTTTGCATAGACCACAATACCTGCAGTCATAATGCAAACAAAAAACATAACTCTGATAATGTGCACTGTCCTTGAAGTTGATTGGTCTGTCTCGGGTGTGGACCAATCAACTTCAAGGACAGTGCATACAGAGTTATGTTTTTTGTTTGCATTACGACTGCAGGTATTGTGGTCTATGCAAACATGACTCCTTGTAAAAAAGGTGTCAGTTTTGTTGCCAGATAGAAGGGTAAAAAACAATTATCATGTTTATTTGCATCTATTATCACCTAAGAATGTTGTTGTTGTTGTTATTGACAAGTGCCTCCGCATATGCCGAGTACAGCTTGGGGCGACGTGCCGTCGTGATTGTAAGCGGTTGCATAATTCATTCAAACATAGCCTCCTTTTCCTGTGTATAAATTAGACATTGGTTATGCCCTTCATCTTAAGAACACGCGTGCCCAGTACAGCTTTGTACTGCCTGCGAGACTTGGACGTTAAAAAACGACTTAATAGAGACCAGATATTGGCACTTGAAATGTATTGCTACAGAAGGGCACCGTTGCGTCTCAGCTGGACACAAAGGGACGCAGACTTAAGAAAAACAAAGAAGACCTCATGCAGGCAGGCGGTGATGAGAAGCGAACCGGCACTATTTGGACACGTTTGTAGGATGGACAAGAACAGGAAACCATACTCTTAGGTTCATTCGGTAAAGTCACGTAGGTATAAAATGAAATAAATTTAATCACGACGTTTCGGGCGCAACACAAGCGTCCGTCATCAGGTGTGACAACCACAGCAAGAAACAACTGATGAAGTGGGCAAAGGGCTGCTGTAACAACAGGCCATAATGGCAAGAGAGAGAGAGGGGGGGAGCCAGGGAGGAGAGACAGAGAGGGGGGAGTGGAAAATTAAAATTCAAAGTGTGTTGTGTCGGAAAAATGGAAGCGATCGGAAAGAGAGGAAGACCCAAGAGAGAATGGCTTGACAACGACATCGTAGGAGATTAGGTGCCAGAAAGATGTGGCCACTAACTTGAGCGTGTTGGCACAGTAGACGGAGGAAAGTGGAAACTAGTGATGAGATGAGCAAGTGACACCTAAGGGCTCTCTGCCCATGGATCGTGACGATAACGACGACGATCGACGATGATGATGACGATGATGATCTTTATCCGCCGCGTGCTGCTGATCGTGCCGAGCACTAAATTTGGGCCATCGCAGGGATTTTAAACATGTAACGTTGGGAATCTTTGTCGGAATCCGAATCTTTATTTGTCCGGGAGAAATCCGACGATCTGCGAAGCTCTTTTGTTAGCCGTGGTTATCTCACGATATACACAAACTCCAACACGGCTATGATTTGGAAAGACGTGCGGTCGGCAGTTGCGTTCGACTCTGAATGAGCAGCACCACCGTCAGTCGACCGGTAGAGGTCGTGTGCGTGGTGGGTCACGTGTGGTCATACTCTTAGCTCTTTCGGTAAAGTCACGTAGGTAAATAAGTATAACCCGTAAAAACAAAGTTTTTCACTATAAATCCTTTATATGCGTGGCGGCTAGAGTCATCTCGTCCTCTGGATTGAGATGGCTGCCACCTATGGGTCATATGGGTCAGATGATTGCATTGCACCATTAAGCAATTGGTAATTAAATATAATATTTTTGTCCTAAAAAGTGTAACATTTTGGAAAAACATTTTTTCACGAACATTAATTGTGACGCACAACGAGTCTGTATGGAAAATGTCAGCTCGATTGGATCACGGGAAGTGGGTTAAAAACGACCGAAAGATTTGTACGGTCCTAAGCAAGCAAGCGAACTTAATATAAAGGATTTAAAAATGAAATCAAAATTAATAAAATAAATTAAAACAAAAAAATTACGACGTTTCGGAGGCAACACAAGCTTCCGTCTTCAGGTGAAACTGTCACAGCAAAATATCTGTATCAAGTGAAGAGAAGTCCCAAGAGATACGACCTTGCTGGGGATGTTAACACACGTGTGGTTAGTTCCTTTTTTTCCAAGCCGTCCGGTCAGCGTGGAAGAGTAGGCTTCTGGAGGGGCTCTGTTATGCTCCCGAGATTCGGAAATGTTATATTTACCTTTCGATTTAAAGCTTTCGTGACTGCAGGCATTCATCTTCTTGGTTCTTTCGGTAAAGTCACGTAGAAGGGAAGTAATAAAATAATAAAAATAAAACGTAATAAAATAATTATCACGACGTTTCGGCCACAACGCAAGCAACCGTCCTCAGGTGAAGAATGTTCGAAACGTCGTGAGAATTATTTTATTATGTTTTATTTTTATTATTTTATTACTTCCCTTCTACATGACTTTACCGAAAAAACCAAGAAGATTATATTTACCTATCATATTCTTGGTTCTTTCGGTAAAGTCACGTAGAAGGGAAATAATAAAATAATCTAAATTAAACATAATAAAATAAAATTCTCACGACGTTTTTGCCACAACACAAGCAGCCGTCCTCAGGTGAAGAAGAGAGCTGTCGGAAAAGTGTCCTACAGCTCTGTTTCTTCACCTGAGGACGGCTGCTTGTGTTGTGGCCGAAACCTCGTGAGAATTTAATTTAATTATGTTTTGCTTTTATTATTTTACTATTTCCCTTCTACGTGACTTTACCGAAAGAACCAAGAATATGAATCCCTGCAGTCACGAAAGCTTTAAATCGAGATTTACCTATCAGTATAAGAGTACATTATTTTGTCTCATTTTTACCATCTTGTTTGTATTGTTTATTAAATTCCCGTGCTGTTTGCGCAACTTGGCCTGATGAATTAACCTACGTTTCACATGAGCTTAATTTGAATATCATTTTGGAACTCCGGTCATCCATACAAAAGCGGCTTTTGGCGAGCCATCGAACAAAGATGATCACAGCATCACGCGCTTTGAGATGTGCTTCTGCGGCCGTCTGGAACGCTTTCCTTCCGATATTAAGAAGCCAATGGAGCTATGCACTTTGAAATAATCTAAATTGAAAACTAATTTCTTTATAACTGCGTTTTGTGTTTAGTTTGTTGTCCTTCCCTGTACCTCCGATTAGCACGATTGGCTCAGTACGGTGTGAAACTAGTTTAACGTACGTACGTACATACGCGTCTTCAGTAACTCCGGTTTTCACACCACGTGGATAAAATACTAAACGGAGACCTCAACGAATATTTCAAGCAGGACATTCCCCCTGAAAAAAGAGTCTTTAAGGCTCACCAAAGCCCTCCCGGGTAAAGGAATTAATCACAGTATTATTACTATCAAGTTACTCTTTCTCAGTTTAGTTTTTTAACAACCCTCAAACACCGACCTCCCTTTATCCACTGCTGATATGACGGCTTCCCTGCGCCACGTTGCTCGCGAGGTTTGCTTGACGGGACAGGATAATCACGGTGGTTACTCTGGGTTTGGTACAGGGAGGTACGGGGGAAACCAGGACTGGTGCAGACACTTGCTCACCGCTGATGCTGGCCGTCGCCGGGAAACTGAACTCAGCTTAGCCGGGTTGGTACTGGTAGGAACCACCTGGTTCTAACATACTTCATGGTTCCACCAGCCCACAGGGGATTATTGTGTCCGTCGCCTGAGGGGAGGGTGGGGAGGGGCTGGGGGGGAGGTTGGGGAGGGGCAGGGTGGGGGGGTGGGGTGGGAGGGGTGGGGCTGGGTGGGGAGAGGCTGGTCACCCCGTGGTGCCCTTATAAAACTCAACGTTAACATACTCACGCCGGCTTGTGCCCGCCTTCACAGTGGGGCATATTTACGGAATACACCACGCCCTGGCCGTTGACCCTGCAGGCCATTGACCGAGC